AGAAGGGTTGGGGAGGTCCGGCTATGGAGGATGGACGTGGGTGACGAAGAAGGAAGGAGGGTTGAAGGTGGTCAGCTATGGTGGATGGGTGTGGGTGATGGAGGAGGAAGAAGGGCTGGGGGTGGCCGGTTATGGCGGACGGGTGTGGGTGATGGCTCGCTTGTCCCGTGGTCCGCGACCGATCCTATTCTACCGCCCAACTCCCTACCCCTTATGCCTTTCTCATAGGTCGTTGGTTTTGGCCTCACGTGCCCCCTTGCAATAGTGAAGACATTCTTTTCATAACCGTAGATTCCCAAGAGAGGAAGCAACAAGAAGTGATCCGTCGACACTTTCCCAAGCATTTAGAGCCGCAAAATGGCAATGTGGTCAACACCCTACCCGGGGATTGAACAGCGAAGCACCACCGGGTGGGCAGCACCCTACTCATATACATAGAACAACAAACTGACAATGTGAACAACACCCCACCGCGGGGGTTGAACAGCGAAGCACAACCGAGTGAACAGCAATCTACCCACGCGCATAGAACAACAAAAGGACAATGCGAACAACACCCTACCCCGAGGGTTGAACAGCGAAGTACTACAGGGTGAACAACGACCTACCCATGCACATGGAACACCAAAAGAACAATGTGAACAGCACCCTACCCCGGGCGTTTAACAGCGAAGTACTACCGGGTGAACAACAACCTACCCATGCACATAGAACATCAAAAGAACAATGTGAACAGCACCCTATCCCGGGGGTTGAACAGCGAAGTACTACCGGGTGAACAACAACCTACCCATGCACATAGAACAGCAAAAGAACAATGTGAACAGCACCCTACCCCGGGGGTTGAACAGCGAAGTACTACCGGGTGAACACCGACCTACCCATGCACATCGAACAACAAAAGAACAATGTGAACAGCACCCTACCCCGGGGGTTGAACAGCGAAGTACTACGGGGTGAACAGCAACCTACCCATGCACATAGAACAGCAAAAGAACAATGTGAACAGCATCCTACCCCGGGGGTTGAACAACAAAAGTACTACCGGGTGAATCAGCGACCTATCTATGCACATAGAAGAGCAAAAGGACAAGATTGACAACATCTATCTTGGAGGCATGCTCACCGAGGTACCCCGGGATGAAGCGCCATACACACACTCATCAAGGATAACATAAAGACCAGATTTGAAGCAATCTATGAGGAGGAAACATCACCGAAGTATCCCGAAGTGAAGCGCCACACACACACTCATCAACGACAGCATAAAGGTAAGATTTGAAGCATCGTATGAGGAGGAAACATCACCGAAGTATCCCGAAGTGAAGCGCCACACACACACTCATCAAGCACAACACAAAGGTAAGATTTGAAGCATCCTATGAGGAGGAAACGTCACCGAAGTATCCCGAAGTGAAGCGCCACACACACACTCATCGAGGACAGCATGAAGGTTAGATTTGAAGCATCCTATGAGGAGGAAACATCACCAAAGTATCCCAAAGTGAAGTGCCACACACACACTCATCAAGGACAGCATAAAGGTAAGATTTGAAGCAATCCATGAGGAGGAAACATCACCGAACTATCCCGAAGTGAAGCGCCACACACACACTCATCAAGGACAGCATAAAGACAAGATTTGAAGCATCCTTTGAGGAGGAAACATCACCGAAGTATCCCGAAGTGAAGCGCCACACACACACTCATCAAGGACA